TTTATATCTAAAGTCAGGATGGCAACACCAAACTCCCTGAGGTGTTGCAATTATAAAATGAAAGAGATGCAATTATGATTCTATGTAATAGCATGTTTTGTTTTTTAAAAAAACTGAGCTTTATTGATTTTTATATTCTTTAATGCCAAGCAAATGGTACCTTCTTTTCAACCTTAAGAGAAAGCATGTTAACAAATAATCCACAAAACTTAGAGTATCATCACTACAGTTTTATCCCCCATATCCTGTAACATTCTATATAAATTTTTCTTTTGGTTTTGTTACCTATCCATTTTTTCTTCCTCATTTTAATCAACTTAATCCTGACCATCAAGAGAGCTACTAGACTCACAAGTAGGTTTTGTGTGGGCAAAAACTAAAAATCATACCTAGATTACTAAACAAAGTTCTAATTTTGCCTTTCTTGTCTGCAGGCTTTCGCTACTTCTATGTAATCTGTCTACCCTTAAACATTGTTTTTCTCATGTCACATATTTCTCAGATGTAATCACTACTTACGCAGAATTCAAAGAGCTATTACAGTTAAAGCTTTAAAAGAGCATATCTAACTCTATTATTTTATACATCTATTTATAAATATGTCTTTATGTATAATTATCTTAAAAATGATAACTATGGCAATCAGAAGGCATATGAGATATAATACTAAAATAAATATGTTTAAGATAATATAAAAGATATATTTAAAGATTTTATATATATCTTCATATATATCTTTAATATATATTCTTTCTAATCTCTGGAGTACCACATGAGATCATCATTTCAGTATAAGAGTAATGTTTGGTACATTAAGTTACTATTTATCCTTCCCTTCATCTTACAGCTGCATTTGCTCTTTTTGTTTTGCTTTTTTATTGTTGGGGATTCATTGAGGGTACAAGAAACTAGGGTTACACTGATTGCATTTGTTAGGGAAAGTCCCTCATCCCCCTCCCTCCTTCTCTCTCTCTGCTCTCCCCTCCCCCTAACCCCCACTAGGTCATTAATTGTCCTCATTCAAAATTGAGAACATAGGATTCATGCTTCTCCATTCTTGTGATGCTTTCCTAAGAATTATATGTTCCACGTCCATCCACGTTAATACAAAGGACATAAAGTCTCCATCTTTTTTAATCACTGAATGCCATTCCATGGTATACATATACCACAGCTTGTTAATCCATTCCTGGGTTGAGGGGCATTCAGGCTGATTCCACATTTTGGTGATAGTAAATTGATCTGCAATAAACAGTCTAGTGCAAGTAGTAGACTGTCCTAGCAAGTCCTTGTGGTAAAAGGACATTTTTCCTCTGGGTATATGTCCAGTAATGGGATGGCAGGATCAAACAGGAGGTCTAGCTTGAGTTCTTTGAGAATTCTCTATACTTCCATCCTAAAAGGTTGCATTAGTTTGCAGTCCCACTAGCAGTGTAAAAGTGTTCCCTTCTCTCCACATCCATGCCAGCATCTGCAGCTTTGAGATTTTGTGATGTGGGCCATTCTTGCTGGGGTTAGATGGTATCTCAGAGTGATTTTGACTTCCATTTCTCTAATAATTAGGGATGATGAGCATTTTTTCATATGTTTGTTCGCCATTCGTCTGTCTTCTTTAGAGAAGGTTCTATTCATGTCTCTTGCCCATTGACATATAGGATTGTTGGATTTTTTCATGTGGAGTAACTTGAGTTCTCTATAGATCCTAGTTATCAAGCTTTTGTGTGATAAATATGCAAATAACCTCTCCTATTGTGTAGGTTGTCTATTGCTTTGGTTGTTGTCTCCTTAGTTGTACAGAAGCTTTTCCGTTTCATTAAGTCCCATTTGTTTAGTTTTGTTGTTGTTGCGATTGCCACAGAAGCCTTCTTCATAAAGTCTTTCCCCAGGCCAATATCTTCCAGTGTTTTTCCTATGTTTTGTTTGAGGATTTTTGATGTTTCATGCCTTAAATTAAGTGTTTTATCCATCTTGAATCAATTTTTGTGAGTGGAGAAAGGTGTGGGTCGAGTTTCAGTCTTTTACATGTGGATATCCAGTTCTCCCAACACCATTTATTTATGTTTGTTTGTTTGTTTGTTTGTTTGTTTGCAGTTTTGGCCAGGGCTGGGTTTCAACCCACTACCTCTGGCATATGGGGCCAGCACCCTACTCCTTTAAACCACAGGTGCCACCCCCAGCTCTTCTTTGAAGGTTTGAATTCTGGTGTGAAGCCATCCGGACTAGGGCATTTTTTGTTGGGAGATCTTTTGTTTCTTTGATCTCAGCTTGAAATTGGTCTGTTTAGGAGCTCTATTTCTTCCTGGATAAGTCTAGGGAGAGGGTGTGATTCCAAATATTGATCCATTTCCTTCATATTGTCAAATTTCTGGGCATAGAGTTTCTTGTAGTATTCAAAGATAATCTCTTGTATCTCTGTGGCATCTGTTGTTATTTCCCCTATATCATCTCTGATTCGGGTTACTAGAGATTTTACTTTTCTATTTCTGGCCAAAGGTTTATCTATTTTATTTATTTTTCCAGAAGTCAACTTCTTGCATCATTAATTTTCTTATTGATTCTTTTGTTTTCAATTACATTAATCTCTGGTTTACTTTTGGATATTTCTTATCTTCTTCTGGGTTTAGGCTTAGATTGTTCCTTTTCAAATTCCATAAGATGACTTGTGAGTTTGTTGATATGCTGTTGTTCTGGTTTTCAGATGCAGGCATATAAAGTGATAAATTTTCCTCTCAGGACTGCTTTTGCTATATCTTACAGGCTTTGGTAGCTTGTGTCTTCCTTGTTGTTATGCTCAAAGAAGTTAATAATTTCCTTTTTTATTTTTTCCTGAACCCAGCTGTCATTCAGCATAAGGTTTAATTTCCATGCTTTTGTGTGGGGTTGAACGTTCTTGTTGGAGTTAAGTTCCACCCATAATGCCTTGTGGTTTGAGAAGCTACCAGGTAAAATTTCAGTTCTTTTGATTCTGTTGAGGTTTGTTTTGTGTCCTAGGATATGATCATTTTGGAGAATGTTCTATGGGCCAATGAGAAGACTGTATATTCTTTATCTTTAGGATGGATATGTTTATCAAGCATAGTTGTTCTAGGGTCTGATTTAAGTATCTTATATCTTTGTTTAATTTCTGTTTAGAGGATCTGTCCAGCTCTGTAAGAGGAGTGTTAAAGTCCCCTGCTATTATGGTGTTATAGGATATCATATTGCTCAGACTAATTAAGGTCTATTTCAAGAATCTGGGAGCATTTAAGTTGGGTGCATAAATATTTAGATTTGAAACATCTTCTTGTTATATTTTTCCCTTGACCAATATAAAATAACCAACTTTGTCTTTTCTTTACTTTAGTTGCTTAAATCCACATGTATCTGGAAATAAGATTGCAATCTTCTGAATTCCATTTGCTTGAAAAATTGTCTTCCAAACTTTAACTCAGTTTTAATTTGTCTTTTGATGATAGGTGTATTTCCTGCAGGCAACAAATGGATGGCTTGTGTTTTTTAATCTAGTCAACCAATCTATGCCTCTTTAGTGGGCAGTTCAAGCCATTAACATTTATTGAGATAATTGATAAGTGTGGTAGCATTCTATTCATCTTATTTTGTGAAAGTCCATTGCTTAGTTTTATCTTTTGCATCATTGTGGAAGCTAGGTTCTGTCCTTTAATTTCTGGATGCTTACTTTGCTGGTGGTC